ACCGCCTTCTTGATCACGGTAGCCTCTGCGCCAGGTAAGTATGCTTTCAAACCCGCACAGCCCCTTCATATTGCCCGTTAACAGAATTTTAAATACGAGAAACTTGCCCCCAAATGCGCCACATAGCGGCTACATGATCAACTAGGCATCGTGACAGCCAGTCGTTAAATCGAAACTCGTCGTTCAGTGATTCTCCGACTTCTCTTTTACTTTACTTTATAACAATGATTACGTGTTTGTATTCTCATAAATTAGAAAATGATATTTCTTATTCTCTTGGCAAAAAAATTAATATATCAAAAAATTTTTTTCAAATAAAATTTTTTTAAACATATTTTCACGCAAATATTTATATCGTATAAAATCGCCAATCTATTATAAAATTAATGATTTCTTAATTTATGTCAATCAATCATTCGTCTTTAAAGCATTTGCTTTCAATTATATACACATATATAAAAGAATAAATATTCATATTTTTAAATATTTAAACTAATAATAATAATAATATCATAGTTTATATTAAACCTCCTTATTATCTTAAATCTATTAAAGATAAGCCTCAATAGTTATATAAATATGTATATAACAAGTTTTAATTATCATCCTTTTATTTTTATTAAAAGTAATTTTTTTAAATTTTTTTATAAGCCATATCTATTTGAAGAAAGAGATAAAAATAAGAGACAATGTTTGCGCATAGAACATAGCTCACCTGGAAAGGATTTTGATCCTTGAAGTCAGTATAGAATATTGATGACTCTTTGCCATACCAGCGATCCTGCGAGTAAATTGAATTAATCCTCATATCAGTCCCATTCTTCGACATTCCTAATATCTTATTTTGACTATTTTCCGTCATTCCGTCCAATATTTTGTCGTTCCCGGCATTTATTAGAAACGTCTCCGTCAAGTGCAACCCGTTCTCGGATATAGGAAATGCGGCCGAGCAACTTCTCTTGGCATCAATATCCCGAAGACTCGTTCTGTTAACGGTTGGATAGATTTTTATATTCTGTGGTCTCAAGAGCGATTCCCCAAATAGGAAATTGGACACATCCAAGTCCTTGTGATTGCTTCCGTTTCCTTTCAGGATAGCATCCTTGCTACCAACCAACTCGTCCAGCTTTTCGCAGGACCCCGCGCCGGCCAATTTGCTTCTGCAGTGCTTGCAGTCCTTCTTCTTGCGTCTACGATTCGGTTTACGATCGGACTGCACCGATGCGCGATCTCGCGATGAATCTTCATTTTCCCGTGATAACGAGGACACGCTCTCCAAAACGTTTTCGGAAAGAGGTTCTGAAAGAAGATTGCAAGGCTTTCCGAAGCCTTGTTCGGGATCATCGTCACTCGTTTTGGACAACGTAGAAACCGCGCTGTCATGATTCGTGCTGATTCTCGTGGAAGAAAGTAACGTCGAGCTGTGCTGGAAGAGTTTATCAACCAAAGGAGACACAATCGACGATGATCCACTGCTGATCCAAGCTTGTCTGGTAAAATCAGTCGATCGATGATCCTTGATCTCGCAAGTGTTTCGAGACTCATCGGGGAGAGATATTTGTTCGGAAAATTCGATGGTATCCTCCGTACCAGTGCAGATGTCCTCATATACGTGGCCCTCGATGTGCGTCGTGATTGTCGGGACGAAAGAATCGCCATCGTCGATCGTATCCACGTGAGATTGCCGATCACGATCATTAGACTCAAGTGTGGACTGCTCTTCTACACGCGATTGGTCCTCCTCATAAGCTTGGTTCTCCATCTGAAACTACGGACAAAAGCGCAATTAGTAAAAAAAATTTTTATTCTTAATATGTTAAATAGTGTGGCGGTCATTGTACGATCTTTTATCAAGCTTGGCAAAATTAATTACGTCAACAAATTAGTTTCTAATCAAACTATATCAGAGATACATTTTAATAGCATAATATATGTATGCTAAAGAAATGTATTATATTGTACTGAATTCAGTAAGGAATGCTCTTTCCGAAATGAGTAAAATGAAATAAAATTCAAATTAAAATTATATTCAACACAAATCTAATAAGAGCTTTTGCTGATTAATGATCCGAAATCTCAAAACACAAGTCCAACTATTTGATCGATTAAAATCTTGGCTCCCTACAATTGTTACTTTCAAAATTATATTTTTATTATAAGAAATAAACAGAAATTATTTATTACTGATCGCAAAAATCAAGTCTGTTCACGTATCATGTTTACGATCAATGTTTCTTTTAAAATATTGCAAGCATGAAAAAGATGCTATTACGTCTCTTGTGTACTTTAGTTATAATTGTTTTGTGAAAACATCCACGTTCAACTCATATTACGTATTTGTAAATAACGAAAGAAAGCAAAATAAAAAAATTAAAGAGGAAATAAAGTTGTACAAGGGGAAAGATAAATCGAGCGTCTCGTTAGGAAGCATCTTCACGATTGTCGCAATTATCGCGACTTGACTCTCCGATTGATCCCAGCCGGGCCTATGACGTCATTGAGAGCGTGCCTATGGGACCGTTTATTTTTAATTCCGTTGTGTACACACATATGTAAAGATGTTTAGATTTCCGCAATCCTACACAAGTGCCACGAGAGATATCTCTCCCCCTCTAATTTTCCGAGACAATAAATCAAATAATCCTTTTATTTGCCTTCTCTATCATCAATCCTATCCTTTTCTCATAAGAGATTTTTATTCAGTTATGTGTAAAATAATTTTCAACGTATATATCTGTAGATAAAATAAAAAATATAAAAAAAGATAAAAATTATATTTCTTAGATTTTTCATTATTATAATAAGCCATGTAAACCAATTATTATATCTTTTGGAAAATATAGTAACATTTATCAATAAAAAACCTTAAAGTCCTGATTGAAGAGATCATATGAGATGCTATTTAATCGCCGTACCTTATATTTGTAAAAAAATATTTATTTTTCTAAATTGTTATATCTGTAGCTTGATGAAAGTCAATGTTTAATTGTGAAAAAAATTCAATTACTTTTTAAAATCAAGCAATAAGTTATATGACATGTTTTGCGTTTTTCGCGCAAAGCTTCTAAAAAGTATATTATGTGTATATCTAATCTATATTAATACATTTCAGTTTAACACACTAGAAATTTTATTACCAAAATAATTAGGAAATTATCCTTCGGCTGCATTTTTAACACATATCTGTTACGTTATTAAATTTTTATTTTTGATCGCTCTTAATGCATCCATAAAAGGTTCCATTCGCGTTTTGATGATGACGACGAGCAGTCGGCTGCGAAGGATACGTCTGCGAGATCGATGCGACACAAAGAGTCCATTCACTAATAAATACAATTAGTGCGTCGCCGCGCACGGTATCGAGAGATTATTCAGTTGCGTCAGTGCGTTGGCGCGTCAGTGAACGATCACCGCAATTCTCGGCATTGCCGTTAGATTAATACGGATGGCTGTCGCATTAGGAACCGATCGTGACGATCCGATTAATTTCGCGCTGATTCAGTCACACCGCGCTCTTACATCCTGCGATGACGCATCGAGAAACGGAGAATTGCGGAATCGCAATAACGTTTTTATCCGCACGCAATACCGCAACGCGTACTTTTCGCAAGAACGTCATTGTCAAGCGACGTGGTAAAAATTTTAATAAGCGAAGGACACCGCATGTGAACATCCATTATTCACGATCTCGTTGCGCTTCCGCGCAACATTCGATAGCGCATCGATGATACCGCGCGGGCTACATGCCCTGTGAGAAAACGTTTCACTTTTTTCAACGTACAATAGACAGAATATCCCTGACTGATCACAATTTCCCATTATAACAATAGATACTGTTTTAATAGACAAGAAAAATTTAATTTAAACAATATCTGAGACTTGATGGATCCCGAATAGTTGATTATTTTCTTGCATTTTATTTGAAAATGTCTACTAATCATGACTAAGTTAATACACATTGCCTTGTATGTATACGCAGCAAATTATTAAAATAAGAAACAATTTATCGTATTCTACACGGCTTACAATTGACGTGAGATAAATGCAAACGCTACGTAGACAGCATACGTACACGCATACACATCACGCAGCAAAGCACGTAGACTAATTTTAAAGTCTGCGGGCAAGCTTGGTTACATATCACATATTTCGACCAGTCACATCAAAGCACCGTCGCGTTCCTCGGCGCACCACTGATATGACAGTTATTTTTAATTCATTTTATATTTAAATTATTTCCTCACAAACAAATCTTTATATTTTTCTTTTCTGCTCTTTCCTTTATTCTTCCATTTTTGACAAATTTTTTTTGCCTAGTGCAATATAGCATTGATAACATCTTCATTTCAACTTTAAATAATAGAATGCATATAATTATCGATAATATAAATCTCGCCACGTATCTGATACTTCCAAGAATCACAAAGAAAATGATATAAAAGAAAAGTATAATCATGATTTATAGAAATAATTATTAGTATCCGTACCGCGATTAGAGTGTAACAAAAGTCTAAATTTCTGTTTCGCAATCTTTAAAAAATAATGAGATGCGTTGGATGTACGACACATGCAAAGATCATATCTTGTTGTATTTTGCACAATTTATCACGTATCACATGGCACGATCCTTGTTCTTCATTGAACGTAAAAAATAACCGAAGGCTAAAGTCTCTCTCTCTCTCTCTCTCTCTTTCTCTCTCTCATTCTACCTGCATTTCCTGTGATAAATTCAATGAGCTGTTATTAAGGTCATTACATTCGATTGCAGTTTTTCGCAACTAATCAAATACTTTTCGTAACTCACGAGTGGATACTTTTTTCTCTGTTGCATCCTTTTTTTCATGTGAAAAAGTGCCATAGTACGAATTATATTACTATCATCACAATTAACAGTCTTTATGTTATAAATTATTATGTAAATACATTCGCCGTTTCTTCTCAATGTACTTCATACTTTTTCTCTCTCTCAATTTCCAAAAATATAAGATAACAACGTGCATATATATAGCTCATAAATATTCATTCAATAATTAATTTATCTTACTAGTGTGTTAATACGAATTTTAATTTGAAAGTAAATTGTTCCCAACAAAAACTTGTTCACAAATTAGTCACAAATTTTGAAATTTCAGTACATTGCGCATCTTTGCAATCAAATTTAAAAAACTCTACATTTAATTTGGCAAAAACAATGTTAGAATTGAAGTTGTTGAAGAGACTGAAAAGATGTGACAGCTCTGGAATGTGCTATACTTACAGAGAGGAATGTATGTCACTTTCACTATATCGCAACATATGTTTATGACGTGATGATGTTACTTTACTTCACATTGTGCGTCGGCAAACGGATAATTACGGAATATTAAGAATAATCGCCGTAGGGTCAGCCCGGCTCGCTCGAGAAGAATTTGAATAAATGCTGTGCATTTACATGCTCCATTGTTATTCACGACGCGTACGAAGGACGAGCCGGAAGCAGGGTCACTCTTCTCGTTCGCTTTTTGTTCGATCGCGACTCCGGAAACCACTGTGCGCATCCCGTGGTTATGAAAAACGGGTTACCGCGCGAGTACCGATAATTAAGGCCGACTAGCGCCGAGTACCGATAATTACCTTCCGTATTTCTCTTTGCACGAAAAATATATAGGCTGCTTCGCCTAAAGTTCAAGGTCCTTAAAAACTTCAACGGCAGAAATAATATATTATGTGTGAGGAAAGCAAAAGCAAATGTAATCTCGCAATATTCGTTTGTAGCACAAAAACGCAGAGAAAGATAGTATAAACTTTGCGCCATCTTTTTCTGCGTTTAAGATACGCCGTTTAAAAAGTATACACTTTAGTTAAACTTTAAAACAAAACACTATTCTTTTCTAATAATGTTAGATCATCCGAATATAATCAATAAATTTACATGAGATGCAAATATAATCACATGTTGATATAAAGTGAAACATTATGCATCGATAATGAATACAGGCAGCTTAGAAAGAGCGCTCAAGTCGAATGCAAGTAGATCAATCTCTCTATAAAAGCACATTCAAACATATTAATGAGGAGCGTACATTATAATTTACAAACTATAACAAGTGATGTTATCGAAAACTGAACAGCACATATGTATATAGCGCCAAGGCTTACAGCGCGGTATCGCAAAAGGCTGTAGGCGCCGATCGGTCGGCTAATAGTTAATTACTTCTCATATACGCTTATAAGGGTGCCGTCTCTTCTTACGCCAAGTGGTGTCCAATTTATCGCGCGGAACGAGTTAAACGACCGACGAAGAAATACTTCTGCCAATGTGTTTCGACAAGAAGCCCGTTTTCCCATCAACCCTTTTTTTTGCATCGATGATTACGGACGATCAGTTTCAATTTCTGTACATCGCAAGCCCAACAAAAATTCGTGTCCCATATGCAACCGAATCAAATTATCATTTGATAAAGTAATGCTGACTTTCAAATAGCCTTATTTTCGAGAGAGTTTATGATTAAAGTATAAAATAGAATACGCAATTTCAAACTATTTGAATGAATATAAAGAAAAATGTAAATAAGAGCCAAATCGTAGTGCACATAAATATTCCTGAACATTTTGCGATCCAGATTATTTTCGACGAATAAATCAATAATAAATATTTCGTCCTTATTTTAATGCCATTAAATTAAAATAAATGTAACAATCAATTCTCGTCACTTAGGAAATTTTATAAAGATTAAAAAGTATAAGTTTGATAATTATATATATTGCCTCAATTATTTAGAAAACTAT